AAATAAATACACTGGTACTGGGCCAAATCATGATAACTTCATCTGTATCCACAAAACCTGTTGACTATCAGATCTAATCAAATTAGAATGTGATGAAATGAATCCTAAATTTGCACACATGAAGCCCATTCTTAATTGTGTACACAATTAATTGGCTTTGTAAATGGAAGTACTTGCTTCCCTCCTCCAACACCAAAAAAACCAACATCCACCACCTTACATGACCAGGTTTCAAATTATATCTCATTAAGAAAAGGCGGAGTGTAAAGAGCCAATAAGGTGCTGGATAGTTACCTACGAACACTCCTGATTCTCTATTTCCCTATAAAATAGTAGACTCCATTACTATTAATTGTTTAAATCAGAAATAAAGAAAACAAAATCTTTTATGAATACTTTTAAGTGAAGACAGCAAGAAGGATGTTTTGGGAAAATCCACCAACAGCAGTCGAAGTTACCTATCTTCATCTGCTGCTATCTTCACACCTATGTGGCTCTGAATCCTCAGCGTGTGCATGTATCCTGACCCCAGGCCTTAAACCTAACACTGGCCTGTATTGTCAGCATCCTGTCATCTTTTTGTAAGTCCTATTTCTCAACCTGTATTTTGTGGAATTTTAAAGCATGTTTACTGTCTTGTGTTACATAGAAAAACTTTAACAACTATGTAACTGTTATTTCCTTTTTCTTACCTACTTTTAACCAGCATCCGCCTCTAGAAGTAGAAAGAAGAGAAAATGTATTTAGAATTACAGAAATTTTAATATGTCATTTAACAAATGGAACTGAGCATACTTGTAGGAAACAAAGGAATGGCCCTTATAAATAGAAGGTATGAGATTACATACTATTTTTTGTGCTCAGTGAATAGCATTACTTCTTACCACTCTTTTCAGTTTAATAATTTCCCATGATAACTTTGCCTATGGTTTGAAATTTAAATGCAGGCTGTGAATTTTTCCACAAAGCCTAAACCAAATTAGGTACAATAGAATTAAAAACTAAATAAGGTTTGCGTTCTTTCCTATGCGCTTAGATTAAAAAAGGCAAATAAGGCCTCAGGGAGATCAACTTAGCAGATAATTATTCAAATATAAGAACACTAAAACACTATTAATATTATATCAGGGTCTTGGCACTATCATTTTAAACAAATGAAGGATAACAACAGAAACATTCAAGCTTGAAAGATCAAAGTATGTTATCTTTCAAAGTTCTTTATAAGTGGAGGAAGAAAATCTTGACAGGATCTTACTATTCTTGTAAAGCAAATAACCTGCGTTGTTCTATAAAATATTTACAAGAATGCTTTTATGTTTTATTGCTATTGTTGTTTTGCTATTGTTTTATTTTTGTTACAATATTTCACAACACATTTTCAATAATAATTAAGCCAGCTACCAGAAGCTATAACTACACTTACTTAAAAGTTTACTCATCTGAGTCTACATCAGTCTAAATACAAAATGACCACTAACAAAATGATTAAAGAGAGTACTTACTGTCTGACAAAAAAAAAATTAGCTCATCTTTATCAGTATTGAGTCCTGAATGAAGGCCAGAACAACGTTTTTAAAGAAAACACAAGAAAAGAAAACCTGAGAGGTGGTACCTTCCTTCAGAAACTGAGATAACAGAATACAATGAAAGATCGTACCATGACACAGTGAGGTATGCAAATAGTAGTCTAACATATTACATAAAAAGATGCAAACCAGATGACATTTATAATTATATCAAGCCATAAGGCATGTTAATAGTTCTCAAGGTTTACCTACATGCAAACTTTCAGTAGAAGTACTTTCTTCTCCTCCATAGGTCAGGTTAACGCCAGCCATTTATAGATGTCAAAATACAATCTCCTCACCAGGTATCCTTCCATTTTTTCAGGCTTAGTTAGATCCTCCAACAAAATTTTATATGAAAGAGGTGGAACCGGAGAATCTATTTCAATATGGAAATTCTGATCCCTGGACCCTGTGTCAATTAGCCTGTTTTCTCAGTGATCATTTTCATGCATTGGCTTCATCTCTTTTTCCTTTGATCACATTCCTTCTAGCTCCATCTGTAACATTCCCAGCTATCCACATTTTCCTGATGCGTTCAGAAACTTGCTCTTCTGCTGGGACAGTACCTTAGAAGAAGAGTGTGAGCAAGCATACACACGTGTGCATGTACTGGACAAGTAACATTCAAAACAGTCAGTGCAGGTCTTGAGATAATGTTAAGCCTTAATGCCAAGAATTAACCTCATATGACATTTCCTTCCTCCTCTCTTCTCATATAAAAACTTCTGGCTCCAGTTCCTTTGGTTATGGAATTCTCAACATTAGCTATATTGTGCTTTTTATTCTACCATTATGCTTCTAGACAATGATACCTAGAGACAGAAAGTTATCACCAATTATTACTATTATTGGAATATCATGGAATCATAGAATGGTTTGGGTTGGAAGGGACCTTTAAAGGTCATCTAGTCCAACCCCCCTGCCATGGGCAGGGACATCTTCAACTAGATCACGTGGCTCAGAGCCCCATCCAACCTGACCTTGAATGTTTCCAGGGATGGGGCATCCACCATCTCTCTGGGCAAACTCTTCCAGTGTTTCACCACCCTCAGCGTAAAAAATTGCTTCCTTATATCTTGTCTAAATCTACCCCCCTTTAGTTTAAAGCCATTCCCCCTTGTCCTGTCACAACAGGCCCTGCTAAAAAGTTTGCCGCCATCTTTTTTTATAAGCCCCCTTTAAGTACTGATAGGCTGCAAGAAGGTCTCCCCGAAGCCTTCTCTTCTCTAGGCTGAACAACCCCAACTCTCTCAGCCTTTCTTCATAGGAGAGGTGTTCCATCCCCCGATCATTTTTGTGGCCCTCTTCTGGACCCGCTCCAACGGGTCCGTGTCTTTCTTATGCTGAGTGGAGACCAATAGGCCACACAACTTTCATCTCAGTCCCTGGTAAATGTGCCTATGAACTAAACGGACTTACCTGTGGATGCCATGAAGAAGTTTGCAATGCTTCCTTGATATCAAAGCCGAGCCACCCCAAGAAGCCTGTTGGAATGTTTATAGAGCCTACCCCCAAGTCCTTCTGGGCAGGGCTGCTCTCAATCCCTTCATACCCCAGCCTGGATTTATACTGGGGGTCGCCCCGACCCAGGCGCAGGACCCTGCACTTGGCCTTGTTAAACCTCATGAGGTTCACACGGGCCCACTTCTCGAGCTTGTCCAGGTCCCTCTGGATGGCATCCCGTCCCTCTGGCATGTCAACCGCACCACTCAGCTTGGTGTCATCTGCAAACTTGCTGAGGGTGCCCTCGATCCCACTGTCTATGTCACTGATGAAGATATTAAACAGTACGGGTCCCAGTACAGACCCCTGAGGGACACCACTCATTACTGATCTCCATCTGGACATTGAGACGTTGACGGCTACTCTCTGGATGCGACCATGCAGCCAATTCCTTATCCACCGAATAGTCCACCCATCAAATCCATATCTCTCTAATTTAGAGAGAAGGATGCTGTGGGGGACCATGGCAAAGGCATGCATTGATAACTGTTAATTCTGCTTTTGCTCAGATCCATCATGTATGCGTTAGTACACAGTGCACAATTTCTAAGTAGTTTTCTTGGCACTTAATAAAAATCCCCTCTTGGAAATTAAAGGAAGCTTCTAAACATCAGAAAGGTAAAGATGCAGAGTTGTCTTCCAAAAGCAGTAATGCCAGTAAATAAGATACACCTTTGAAGATAAAACTTCACCAATAAATTACGAACAGACTGTAAGAGCTAGTGACTCGACTCAAGTCAATAACATGCATGGACTTTTCCTGACCCAGACCAAGCCTACACTTCAAAATTTTACACTTCACCTAAGTTTGGATTTAACGAGGATCCACTCTCACATCGTTTATAACAACCAAAGTATTGATTTCTGACAGCAGAAAAAAAATAATCTTGTTTTAAGGATGAAAATAAAGGTGCACTGTAAATTGTTTATGTTCCAAGTTTGCTATAATGCTCTGGTTTTACTATAAAAATACTCTTCATTGAAATAATGTGTTTAATTAAGCTACAAGTAATACCGTATAAATGAGCTTGTACACAGATGAAAAGCAGAATGACGAAAGACTGAGATCTTCCTATCTTCCTGTCTTCCTGAGACTCTAGAGTAATAAGCTCATGATGAAAGCGTGTTCCTCTACTAAAAGCATTCTGCTCAAAGTTAATCTTCAGGGAACTATAAAATACTAAACTACAGGTACCTGAGCTGAGACTAAAAAATGGCTCTTGGCTGGGGACAATGAGGTCCATCCGTATCAGAACTTTACACAGTAAAATCTGATTAGTATTTCCCCTTCATGACAAGCATACACGGTACGGATGCTAGCACCAAGCCCGGCACACAACACTCCAGAGTAAGAATTACATGCCAAGAGAGGGAGAAAACTGTTCTTATGTGGTATTCCATATACAATGTCATTCATTTTAATTAGAACCAAAGCTTTTCTTACTCCATTTTGCAATACAGAAGAAGGGATGAGAAGAAAATTTGCCAAAGTTCTTTCTACATACAATTTAAGCAAAAGGGAGTAACTGCACAGCACTTGGGACTGCTTTGGGCTCTTTCTTTTTGGCAGATAAAAGCAACATTACCAACGCTGCTTCAGACTCTTGTGTAATTCCTCTTTGCCCGGGTCGTGGAATGTCTCAGATGGTACAGTTGAAAAATGTCTATATCCACTACCCATGTTGCAAATTCATGTGTTATTCAGCCATTGTACTGGATTGAAACGTAGTTGATTACATTTGCCTTTTTTGTCAGGAAGGGAAAACAAAAAACCTAACTGTTGTCTTGGTTATCACGAGCACATTACCAAATTAGAATTTGTAATAACTACTTGATAAAATGCATCTGAATGTGCCATAGGAATTATAATTAGTAGAGTTTTAAAATTCTTTCTCCCTTTTATTAACAAAAATGGAACTAGCAACATACCTCTTTTTTCTCTGTGAACTTCTTCCAAAAGTTTTTCTTGCTTTTTCATATGTTTAAAGAGAGACTGATGTTCAGCCTCCTTTATCTGTGTAAAGTGCTTGAGCTGTTCTTGGCTCTGCAGCAAGTAGCGTCGCAGCTTTTTTTCCTTACTTTCTCTCTCCTTTACCTCCTCGCATAGCCACTGAAGCTTAGTCTATGTTAAAAAAATGGGACAATAAAAAGTACAGCATTCTAATGAAAATAAGAGGACATAATTTGATCAGTTACACTTATCTTTGGAGTCACAGACTACTCATTTGTATCTATTACTGAGTAATAATAATAAAAAGGGACATTCAGATATATTAAGAGGACATAATGTTGACCTTCAAAGAGTCTCAAAAGGCAGATATATTTTGGCTGATAATTGTCTGTGAAGAAGGAATACACAGATTTTTTTTATTTTTTTATTTATTTATTGCCAAAGGAATGCTTTTGTATTTTTCCTTCTCCCCTTTAAGTGCCTTTTCAAATACACTTTCAACTGAATGATTATAAATGTTGGATACTAGCTTATTCAGTAAAATTTCAGGAGGTTTGACTATTACCTTTGTTTCTGCTAACCAGCGATGAGGATCTTTCAGCACCGTTGGTGTAAGTGATATTGCCTATGGAATAGTAGGGGAGGAAGAAATAGGCATAAAAATGGGAATTAGACGCAGAAAGGAGAAAGAGTCTTTCCTGCTTACTGGAAATTCAGTATTCTTTGCTAAAAATCCAGCTTGGAAGTCATATCTGTAAATGGTTTAATAGAACTATTTAACCATAAATTAGTCACATCTAAAAGCAAGTTATGCAAACTCACTGATACAAATTTTGTTTAAAAGTGCAACTTAAGTAAGTTGCAATGATAGTAAGTTGTATTCTGAATCTGTATAGTTTTCGCCTAAGAATCACTACAATGACACGTTTCAAACATCCCCAGAACATATCTCTGCATCAAGGTGTATATTCTCAGTTTGAAACTGTATGTCCTTTTTTGAAAATATCATAATATTACCAAATAATACAATCAAAACTCTACTTTAAAATGACTATTTCTTAAGAAAAGGCCAACTTCAAAGTCATTCAACTGTTTTTTCCTCCATTCTGCAGAACAGTGGCTGCACATAAACCGGAAGTAGCAGAACCAGGTGTTGTTAGTCATTGAACTGTTATCAGTATATCTACAAAAATGCTATGCGCAACATGATAAATGTCTTACCAAAAAGTAAAAAATGACACACCCCCAAAATCTTTAAGTTATGCTTCATGATGATGGTCTTAGTGTTTTCATGAAAAAGACAAATCACTTGCCTTGATTATTTGATAGGCATAAAAAGAAAACTGTAATCTTCACTAAGTGGATAAAAAGAAAAACTTGTGCTTGAATGCTTCATTAATACTTCATACAGTGAGAAAATGTGATATGTCTTTTTTCTGCATTCAAACTGAACTATGTTAAACTTGTTTTAAAGGTACTTCTATACATGCTATCCATATTACTTACTAAAAAGTTAGTGATACTTGATTTTTTTTTCCACCACTTTGAGTTGATACACAAGGGGAAGAAAAAAAGTCTCATACACAGAGCTCCCAACTGAAATCTATTTAAAATCAAGTAAACTATTAACCATATGTCCAGCTCATCCTTTATTTCATGTAGTCCTATCCCATGATTACTACATTGTGCCTTTCTCTAATTTGAAGTTTTTGTGGGGGTTTTGTTAGTTTGCTTGCTTTTAATTTACCATATTTTGCAATTCAGTGAGTCTTTATGTACTTTTAGTCCTAGTCCAAAAATTTTTGTAACTGGTGTATTTCTTTAAGAGGTATTTATATGGGCTTTATTAACTACACTGAGACCAAAAGGTGCCTGAACAGCACCATCTAATTACGCACATACATACGTTTTACGAGAAAATTATCACCACATAAGGACACAGATGAAAAGAAATGCTTTAGTAGGTATGTTGACCATGACCTCACAAAGCAATGCATACCTGAAAGTTGTGACTTCCATGGCAGCAAACCTCATTCTGTGCAACCACATTCAAAGGTGGCAGTATTCCATTTATAGTTTAAGCATGACTGGCGTAGTTATTGCAAGCATAAGATTTCTTATAACAAAAGACTGTTTGGAAAAATAAATCTGAACAACATATGTGGAATTCTTTCCTTAGAACACCAGTACATGGTGATTATAAAAAATCCAGTACATTTTTCATCAGGGAAGATTAAGCCTGGAGTTTAAGTTCTCTGAATACAAGTATTTATCCATTAAATTCCTTATTGCTCACCTCAGTTGCAGTGGCAACTTCTTCTTGAAGAACTTGACTGAAACCTTATAGAAACCTTGGCAATACCTAAAGTACTGGGCAGAGGAACAATCTAACAAAGGAAACTTCTTACCTTTTTAAAAAAAGATTTTCAGATCAGGCACCACAAAACTGTGTAACATTTGTTTTCACATTACCTGTCTAGCCAAAAATTCAGATTCAAATCTGTTTTAAGTTTGCCAGTGATAAACAGTTAAAGGGGATAAATAAGGAGAATTGTGAAAACAGGGATCAGCAAAACTTTATCCAGAAGACAAACACTCTGCAGGAGGTGGGAAGCAAGTCCAAGAAGGCATGGTTCGATGATCAAGAATCTGGCAACTATAGCAGATCACAAAGACTTAATAAAAAGACACTTATCTGTAAGTATACAGAGGAGAAAGCTTGTTTGCCAAATACATTTTCTTAGAATTCTCATCTGTTTGTGTGCTGCAACATCCCAACTCCACAGGTTAAGTGGAGAAAAAGGCACAACCATACTAAAAGGCTGAAACAAAGTGACTTCTCTCCACACCTTCAAACAAAACAGGTGAGGAGAAACTGTAGAGTAAAAAGCATGCTCTGTTTAAATAGCAAGACAAAAAAGGCATAATCTGAGTGTACTCTGTAATTACAGCTAGGGCTAAAAAGCCACCACGTCAAGCACTTGTGGTATAAGTTCCCATAATGCCAGTAAGCATGGTGACAAGCTGAGTAGGACTGTTTTCTTTATTCTCAGCTGTGTGCAATGTCTATTTAAGAGGATTAGTCATGTAGAATCATCTGGAGGGAGGAAGAGAGGGTTCTGTCCCTGGGGAGCAAATAAGAATGCTCAGGAAAAAAGCTAATGGGAGACAAGGGTTGCAGAAGAAGTAGTAAAAGAGTGGGGAAAAAAAAAAGTTACAGCAAGCTACAACTTTCCTGAAACTTTGAGTCTGAGTTTTCTGGAGACAAGGACCTGCTCCACAAAAGAGGAGGTTATAAACTCTTTTCATTTCCAGCATTTACTTCTCTAATTAAAAAACAAAGCATCTAAATGAATTTTTAATAAACCTTTCTTTCTTTCCTTTTCCCCGATTTTAAAAGCCTTTTATGTCTTTCTTGGGGACTTCCCACCTCTAAGGAGGTGGTCTAGAAAAACCTGCCTCAAAATTCTGGCTGATGTAAGGTCCTTTCACACAAGCAAACAAAAGGAGAACTTTTCTCACAAAAAAAAAAATTGGCAAAAGAAAGCAGTAACGATTAACACATGGGCAGATCTTCATAGTATCCCATTCTAATATCTAGCAATCTACATCTGTACCAGCTAAATATCCATAATCCCATTATCCATAAATTATCTATACCAGTTAAGTGAGAGGTGACAACAAAACATACAAATTCTGCTACAAACTTTCATTAAGAAAATAACAAAATCTGCAGCATACTTAAAGCTTAGAATTACTTTGAATTTCTCCATGGAGTCCCGAGAAAAAATTTCACAAGCAGCATCAATTTCACTTCCTATCATGGTGAGAATGGATTTCTGTTCCATTTCTAAGTGACACAGCTGATCCTTAAACTGCAGTCTGGCCTCATCCATCCTTCTCAAATTATCTTCTTCATTGCTGATCTGTTTATCCTAGAGTGAAAGAGAAAAAAACAAAACAAAGATAAATTATTGCACTAATAATATAACATACATCATTAGCAATATATATTTCAAACTTATGATCACACTATACTCACTCATGCACTGAGTTCAGTTCCTTGCCATGGAAAATAATACCTTTAATAGTACTTATAAGTTCCTCTCTTGATTCTCCTTATTCTCCTGTAAATCAGTTACGAAGAAACTGCTACCAATCCAAACCCAACAATCATAGAGCCTATTTTCAGAGTCAAAACCAGACATTCTATCATGTCTTCTTTTTCACAAGTAGAAAGAGAGCCCTCAACAAATACTCCCCTTATTATCTTTTGACCTGAACCAGTTACAGGCGTCTAATCTCTGTCATCACAAAAACAGATTCCTGAAGGAAATCTGTATTGGCAGTCAGTGTGTTCTCAAAGAAAAAGTATGCAAAGAATATCTCATAGGACAGTGACCGGCACTGAGTAAAGCATTTTATGTTATCATCCTATGTCAGAAAGATCATTAAATATGTTACATATTTTTTAAAAAATTCAGATTCTCTTCCTCGATATCTATAATAGAGCCACCATGTAAAACTGAACCCAGCAGCAGTTTTGTTATACAATATATTGAATTATGCATTGTAATTAATGTAACAAAACTATCTTGTGAGAAGAAGTGAAATTGGTTCACACCTGCCTGCTGCTGAAATCAGGAAGACGTAACGCAGCAAAGGGTAAACACTTTGACAGGCACATTTCAGTATGTGCAAGTGCACTGAGAATGGCAAGAAAAGCAAGAATAATAATTTTGAAAATTTATTAATTATGGACCTCTGCAATGGCAAGGTGCAATTGTTTAAACTGTATTTATTGGAAATCTTCATACCCTGTTCTCATGAGATACCACTGTGGAGCCAGGTAATTTCTAACATACAAGTTCTGTGAATGTGATACATATGGAATCATAAAATCATTTAGGTTGGAAAAGACCCTTACGATCACCAAGTCCAACCGTAAACCTAACACTTTCAAGTCCACCACTAAACCATGTCCTTAAGTCAGGCATTGGAACAGGCTGCCCAGGGAAGTGGTGGAGTCACCATCCCTGGAGGTATTTAAAAGACGTGTAGATGTGGTGCTTAGGGACATGGTTTAGTGGTGGACATGGCAGTACTAGGTTAATGGTTGGACTTGATGATCTAAAGGTCTTTTCCAACCGCAATAATTCTATGATTGTATAAGTGCCACGTTTACACGTCTTTTAAATACCTCCAGGGATGGTGACTCAACCACTTCCCTGGGCAGCCTGTTCCAATGCTTGACAAACCTTTCGGTGAAGAAATTTTGCCTAATATCCAATCTAAACCTCCCCTGGTGCAACTTGAGGCCGTTTCCTCTTGTCCTATCACTTGCTACTTGGGAGAAGAGACGAACACCCACCTTGCTACAACCTCATATACAACCTTTCAGGAGGTTGTATACATATATATATATATATAAGTATAGGTGTTACACCTATTAGCAAAATAGGTGGAGTTTAATATAGGTGACCTTCAAACGTGAAAAAGCCATACCTGATAAGCAGCCTGATTTTTTCATTTCACAAAAATACTTGAGTTAGACAGTAGCTATTTCAAACTGAAGGAATCACAGTTTTTAATATGCACAAGCTCCAGTATTTCTGCACTATCCATATGGGAGTTGAAATAGCAGTTCTGATCTAGATCAGTATTCTGAAGGTAATAAGATTGCATTATATATGTTTCCAGTGTCAGTATGCTATGCTATCTCATTATTCACTGAACGCAGTCCATCACATGCCAAAATTCACTCCCAAAGACCATGACTAAAAGAGAGTATATAACTCATTATTTTTTCCTTTATTTTTCATCTGCTTGATTTTCTGAGTGTGCCAGCATTCCTCAACATTCTACTTTCAGAGCCTACAGGAGAAATGAAGTCACTAATAACTCAGAAGTGCACAGAAGGAAAAGAAACAGAAAATTTTACCATTGTTCTCTGCCCCTTCACCTTTCACGAAAAAAAAATTAAAATCCAAGCTATCTATAATACCTATGTTTCTTCGAATTAGTATTTGCACTAAGGACAGAATGACATTAAAAGTTTAAGAAGTGTGGAAAAGGAAGAGAGAATTCTTTAGTAACACAATTGGCTTCTGCAATACCACAATATGACAACTAGTATGAGATTACTCAAGAGGTAATATCATCATTTCCCCCATCCTAACAGCCCTTCTAACAATCCACAATAAAACCGCAATAGTAAATATTCTCTTAAGTTAACCGATTAATGCAATCAAGTGAACTCTCCATCTGCATTTACCTTCAGAGGTTGAGACCACAGGATTGTGTGCCTAAAAGCTCCTCCATTCTTTTTCAGCTTAGAGATTTTCAGTAGAAAAAACACATTTTGAATTTTCATTTTAGGTACTTTTTATTAGTCTGACAAGTTGAGCTTTTAAAGCACTTCCTGTTAGTTTAACGAGCTAAGAGAAATGCCAGGTTTAAGATTTTCTCATTCCATACTTTCCAACAACAACAAAAAAAAACCCACAAAAAAAACCAACCCACCCCAACATTTTTCTCTCAGGGCTAGTAATCACAGCATACTGACTGACAGCCAGCCAATATATGCTGAAAATATAAGCAGTATGAAAAAGGAACTAATAGCATTTCCAAACAATCACTTTACCTACATTCAAAATAAGCCCATTAGATTTTAAGCTCAACACCTAAGTGATGTTGTGCACTTCATTTATAACAACAGAATACTAGTTGAAAATTAAATTGAAAAACCTGAAAAGCCATGAAGGATCTACAATATCCGTGAGCCTCTTATCAGATTTGAATAGTTTGAAACTACTGAGCTAATGAAGAATTATCTGATGAGTATTCAGCGGTCCACGTGAAATGAATGAACAAACCTCTTGTACCTTGTTAATATAAATGTCTATATCAAAAAATTTATTTTCACAAGGATGAGAAATTACTAAATTGACATAGAAGAGCAAGAACCTTCCAGCTAGAGGCTAGAATATAAATTTTTTAAAAATGACGATATCATGAAAAATTTATAACCAATTTCATGCAGGATGCACAATTTTGTTTTTTTTCTTTAATTTTAATCTAGGAAATCAAATTTGTCAAAGATTAGAAACAATCATTTTCAATGTTGTCTTAATATGAATTAATCAAATACTGACAGATATGTGCTTTACACTGGAGAAGGTAAAACTTCATCCATGTAGAGAAATAAATATCCGAAATCACAATGTTGCAGGAAGAGAAATTTAAGATATAAAACCAGCACAATGTAAAATACATTCATGTTAAAAAAAACATTAAAAAGGAATGCTGTGGAAACAATAATGGAAAAAATGTAGAACTCAAGAAAGCAGAAAGAGGAGTTACAAAATGAAATTCTTCAGCAACTCTGTATTTATCACTAGATATTTGAAAAGAAAGGCTGACAACTCCAGGTTGTGAGAGTGCAAATTAGTATTTGATAGTAAATATTAATAATCAGAACGCTACGCAACAAGAATTGCTGGCAGACAGCATCCATCTCTAGAAATACAATGCCACTACAAGAAAAGAATGCTAATTTCTTGAAAAACTTGCCATGTTTTAAATATTCAAGCAGAAAATAATTTTCATCAAGTTATTTAGAATTTCTTTTACCGTGTTTACATTGCTTATCTACTTCAAATTAGCTCTAAATTATTCATAAGTGCACTGCAACTTTAAGAAAACGTAAAGAAAACTAGAAGTGTTTGGTTAAACATGTTAGTTACCTATATTAGAAATATGGCAGGCAACAGGACTTATATTTCTACTCCTAAATAGTACTAGCAAATCTTTGGAGGGATACAATACATGACTCGGCCAAAGCACTTTTGCCTTCTTTGATTTATATAGAAACTGTGTACTACAGAATGACTGTGTATATTCTTTAATATGTACATGTATTTTTTGTATTTTAAGTTTACCATCTATTTCTATAATTCATCATTTATTTTAGGTATTGATCAGCAGAGACACTGACGAATCATGGTTAAAATCAGGTAAGTTTACCTTTTTCTCCAGTTCTTGTTTTACAAACTCACATTTCCGCCTGAGTTTTATATTTTCCTCTTCATTTTGGGTTAATTCTTCTGTCAATTTATCACACTCCATTTTTATCTTCTCCAGTTGTCGACACTGAGTCTTGACTAAGTTTTTCTCTTCTACAAGTTCCATCTGATGGTATGGGAAAACAGATTACAAAGTCACTATATGGGTTACTGTAACACATTCCCAGACTGTAGAGTTTCAAATCCGTGGAAAGCTACTACGGAAGGATAATTGTATTTAATTTTTCACATTTAAGTTATATTAAGGGCAATCACTTATCTGAACATGGAAAACATGTATCACAGAGTTGTAGAACCATACAGTGTTTTAAAAGCAGTAAATAGAAGTCTCAGATTCTGCATTTCAACTCTGCTACACTCATCAGCTTACATCACCTTAAGAAGCCCAGTATTTATGCAACTTTTCCATTACTGAAAAAATTTGGCATCAGAAAGTCTAAAACTATCATTTCATTTCAGGACCTAATACTAAATTTATATCTGCAAGGAAATAACTGCAAAGATTTGGTATTTTTAATTTCTAAAATTGTGTGGTTTTAATGCTACTCATGGAAACACTGCAGAGAAAAATGAAGAAAACAAATTTAAGGGCCTTGAAAGCCCTAAATAGGTGAGTGAATAAAGTATACTGGTTTCCAGTGGGAAAGATAACTGACTGAAACTGACACATTTGAGAAATGCTCTATAATATCTAGAAAATGCAAAAAAATAAACAAAACAAAGAAGGAAATTACACACATATTACTCAAAACCAGCTTCATATTAGACAAATTGTGGGATGCAGTTACACACAAAAATAAACCTGCAGAGTAAATCCTTTCTGAGGAAAAGCAAAAATTCTATTCTCCCAATTATATTATAAATATAACTTTTATGGGGAAGAGGGTAAGGAGAGAAGTTTTACAAGTTAATTTAGACACCAGAGCTAACAGAACAAAAGCTCCTCTGAAGGACAATTCTGAGAAAGAACTTTGGTGTCCTAAGTCCACAAATACTTATGGACACAAAGACACGACTGCAATGCCTAAAACATTTTCTGTGAGTATGTTTATAAAACCAACTTTTCAGTTCCTACTAAACGTAGTTGTATTATAATGTCTATGCAGATGGAGACAATCCAAGAACCAAGTTCCTCACTCATATTACCTTTTAGACACAATGGAGAAAGTTAATTTTTATTAATTTCCAGTATGGACAAGGCAGATGTGACCATAATTTAATTGATCTGAATTGAACCCATTTTCCACATCTGATAATCTTCAAGAAAAAAAGAACTATGCCCACTTGCTATATGTATAGAAAACAATTCAAAAAGAAATACACATATATACACAATTTCATATGTATAGATACATATCTTTATATAATCTTACATTAAAGATTAATACTTGAAAGTGCTGTCAGGCACGAGGATATTTTGTATTTCATTATTCTAAGAGAACAAGGATGTTTTTAAAGCAAGTGAGGGCATACAGTAAAATTAGGGGACAGATTCAGAACTTCTGAACACATAGCTGATTGGGGATCACCAAGCAAACCACTTAATTTCCTATGCCTAGTTTATCTATAATTTTAAATAATAAAAAAAGACATTACAGATACATTGGTTGGGAATCCTTTAGGATGTTCTAGCAGAAACAGAATTAAAAGCTTAAGCATCAGAATCTCAGTACTGAGACAGTAAGATCCTTCTCAACACTGACATCTCGTACAAAATCCTATGTTCTTCTCCAGTTCTACTGCAACATACAATATTCCTATGGTACCTCCCCTACTACCCCAAAAAATCCTTAACTACTTTACAATTTTTAAATCCAGTGCAGCACTACAGAAAGCCGGACAAGAGTGAAGCAGAAAGTATTATACAGAGGAGGCAAGAAAGGGAAGAACAGTAAGGGTCAAAAGTCACTTCTTTTTACGATCTATGCAGCAGTTGGTCCTGTAATCACAAGGCTATTCACCCTTGATTTCCTGAAAGTAACTCATCAAAATTCCTCCTCTAGTTAAGTTTAAGGCTTTGGGTCTTAATAAATGTCTTAAATTTCCCTTTACTCCCCAAGTCTCTCCCAATTGACCTTTATTTTTAAGACTTTAACATTAACAACCTTTGGACAGGGTTATGTATGTTTGTCCTGGTTTCGGCTGGGATAGAGTTAATTTTCTTCCTAGTAGCTGATACAGTGCTGTGTTTTGGATTTAGGATGAGAACAATGTTGATAACACACCCATGTTTCAGTTGTTGCTAAGCAGTGCTTACGCTAGTCAAGGACTTTTCAGCTTCCCATGCTCTACCGACTGAGAAGGCTGCAGGTGCACAAGAAGCTGGGAGGGGGCACAGCCAGGACAGCTGACCCAAACTGCCCAAAGGGATATTCCATACCATGTGATGTCATGCTCAGTACATAAACTGGGGGAAAGCTGGCCGGGGGGCCGCTGCTCAGGGACTGGCCGTGCATCGTTTGGCGGGTGGTGAGCAATTGCATTGTGCATCACTTGTTTTGTACATTCTTTTATCATTATTATTATTTTCCCTTCCTTTTCTGTCCTATTAAGCTGTCTTTATACTTTTTTTCCCCCCGATTCGGGGGCGGGGGGGTGGGGGGTGGGGGGTGGAGTGAGCGAACAGCTGTGTGGCATTTAGCTGCCTGCCAGGTTAAGCCACAACAACGTTCTTTCCCAAAAGCAGTTACAAAGGTTGGACAAAGCTGAGGCATAAATAAGGTCAGGATTACTACTGTAACAGTAAAAGACAATTGGTTACTAGGCAAAAAAAAAAAAAAGAAACAAAACAAAAAAACAAAACAACTTACCAGCCTGAAAAAAAGGATAATAGGTAAAAAACCCCCACCTTTCTGTTGGATTCCCTAAACTCTACCCTAAAACCACAATATTTAAATACAATTTGATAAAATGCATATGAAGTTTACCTTAATTTGGAGGAAAAATATGTCCATAGAAGTGAAACCCAATTGCAATGTAATGATGAGTTCAGACAAAAAGTAACCAAGTCACCTGCACGATGACGTTCTTATCAACTCTTCCTACAGATGGATAGGATTATCTATTTTGTTGCACTTACAGTCTTTGACTCAAGAGAATGTTGTGCATTATCATTTTGTGTACTTCTAAAAAAAGTTGCCTACCCTAACATCTTACAAAATTCCTCTCCCTCAAGCCCTCTGCTCTTGTCTGTTTCAGAGACACAAAGCTGTAAAAAAAAAAAAGTATGTAGATTAAGGATTCTGGGAAAGTCATGGCACTGTAAATGAAAGGAAATGAATTTTTCAAATATTCTGTTTAGGTACAACAATCGGTACCAATATCAAGGCCCTTACTGTAAGACTGACCTTTCCATAGAAGAGGAACACATAGCCATGATCAACTCATATTTGACTACTACCATCCAGAATACACTTTCCTTCTCTCCCCCTGATATTAAATGTAGTCTTAGTTTCAATGTCATTATCAAAGGAAAAACACATATTTGGACAGATAATTTAAATAACGCTAGACACATTACAAATTAAGTCCCCAATGTTAAGCACTGCTGTCAAAATATTTTGATTTTAATGATCCTTCCACTAACAACCATCCAGATTTTTTTTATTGCTATCTTCATTAAATGCTTTCTGTGTTACCAAGTGCTTAAGAATTATTGTCAATTATTATGTCATAAATGATATATTATATAACAATCCTTTTCTAAGTAACATCAATTCATAACTACAAAAATGTGGAAAATACGCATTTTTTTAACTAGTTGCATATTTGTGAGAAGAGAAAGGAAATAAACGTGGTTACATTACTTATGATGAAGTAGATCATGAATCACTTAAGTTTTAAATAAGGATTTTATAGCTTTTTATGATTAAATTGGTAGAATTTTGACATGAGCAAATTTTTTATTTGATGGGACTAAGGTAGAAAATGTATTTACAGTGCTTCAGAAGTGCACTCAAAATATGTTGGTAATTTACAATGTATCTGGAAAACTACTGCCGCCATTAATATGAATATACAAATGATTATTACTAGGACATACAAAATACTATCTTACATATCTATTTAACCATGTAATCAAAATTGCTTCAATAAAAGTGAAATGTATAGCTTATACAACTGTTGACAGTTAATTGTACAGTTTAGACCACTTCAACTTAACTTTTCAATTTTATTCAGACCACTTAAAGCCACTAAAATGCTCGTTTTCTTTCCAATGCAATAGCATTGAATCAGGAGCAAATGATGTAAACTAAAGACATTAACTTGTTTCTTCATGAATAAAATGCTATATTTCATTTTCATCATTTACTATATGAACATAGTCACTTTTCTGAGAAATTGTACAGAAATTAGAAATTCTAAACACCCTTTGAAATAGAAAGAACTATCAAAATTAACCTTAACAAGTGTTATACATTATCACTATTCACATTCTGCAAGTGTTTCCAGATACAATGACAGTATTTCTGCATCATGCAATTTAAATATTTACAAAAATGCATCATCTCTGAAATATTGCAAGTTCTTTAATAGGACCGTGACAATAATTGTAAAAATAACAGTTGAAGAAGAAAGGATCAAATCATATTAAAACACTACAGTCTCATATATCTCCTTCTGTTCTGATCACAGACATACCTATTTCACTACTTTTGAACTAAGAAAAGCTTTTGACCTAAAACCGTTACTGTTACATTTTTTTACCCTGAACTTTAAAAACTTTTACGATGACCTGCAATAAAATGTGAGTTACATGTTTTAAAGCCCATGCTTTATTACCTTCATCACTCAATAGGGAGAGAAAAAAAAAAAGTCTGACATTGGAATTCTTCAGAATAAGTACCTTTAGCATTCTAATCTGAGCCTCTGCATCATCCTTTTCTTGTTTAAGGAGTTTCATGAGCTCTTGAACATTTCGTTCATGTTTGATTTTAACATTTTGTAACTCTGATCTAAGATCTGCCAACTCCTGTTGGTGAACTTCTCTTTCCATCTTCAGCTGCCTGTTAGCTGACG